CAATACTGTCTGGACCAAGAAACAGGCATGCCAAATAGAATAACAGAGGAAGTGAATGACCACTACTGCACATTTTTTATGCTAATTTTTCTATTTTTTATTTTATTTTCATCTTTTACATCTTTTATTTTATTTTCATTTTTTACATTTTTTACTTAAGAAACGAATTTTTTCTTTTTTCCTCACTTGATTTTACCTTTTCAATTATTACATTTTTCCGTTTCAATCATCATTATTACAACTGCTACCGGTAGATGTCAAACAAAATGTGGGTTTCCAGGGGTAGCCCTGGCATAAAGGATCCCTAACCCAATGCTCCTCGGTCAATTTCCCTGAAGTCCCATTGTGCTGGGCCTCAAGAACATCACATTTATACAGCAGATGGCTCCTGAGAGACTAATTATTCCCAATCTATGACTCATAGTAACACCATGGAGGCCCAGAAGAAACAGACTTGCTCAAGGCTCTGAAGGATTGTAGAGTTAAATTTTATAGAATTGAAATTAAATTTAAGTTTAAGATTATTTCATTACATTTTCTTTCAAATAGATTTTATGTTACTGGATAGTATAAGAAAAATACAGTAAAGTTATAAACATATATGTGATAAACACAAATATTTTAAAACTTCATATAAAACAGGGCAGGAAACCCTCTCTGCCATGGCAGCTGACACACGATGTGATCCAGGGTCTGGCACCACAGGCTTGCCAGGTGCTGAGGTGAGATGCTCAAATGTTCCAGGTGGTTCCACATCTGGAATTTCAGTGACAGCTATGCCTGGGGCCTGCTCTGGCTCTGGAGAAGGCACGATGGTTGCCATTTCCTCTTCGGGTGTTTCTTCATCTTGCTCTGGAGCTGCTTCTGGAGATCCAAGAAGAGAGCATGTTACACCATGACTGCCCTTTGTGTGCTTCCAAGGAAGGGAACCTCCCATCTCCATCACTGAAGTCCCAGTTCAAGCCTCAACCAGGAAGTCCCTCAGCCCGCAGGCTCTGGGCACTGACCTGAGCTGCTCTGTGCTCCTGCCTAACCCCAGCCTCTGGGAGCTCTTCTCTGAGTGATCCAGCCCCATCCCCCGCCCCCCTCACCCACACCACCCAAATACACATGCACAGCTCTCTTTGACTCCCTCACTTTTTTTCTTTCAGACCTCTGACCTCTGGCAGAAATCCCACAAGGCATGGAACTAAGGGTGTTGCCATCTTTTCCAAGTCACAGTGCTCATACTTCCCTTAAAACTCTAATCCAAAGCCCACTCATTTTTTCTGCTGGTCCATAGATCCACTTTCTGCTTCAAAATATGAGAAGATGTGGCGATACTTCGAGGAAGAAATCACATTAACTGTCCTGTGGATGCTACCTGCCTATGCAGCCTAGTGTGACTGAATCACTCCTGACTAGAAGGAAGCGTTGGAGTGCAGTCCTGGGGGCAGGGTATTTGCTGACTGAATGAGCCCAAACCACCCCATCTCAGATAGCTGGGTGAACTTAGGGTCCCCTGCTCACCCCTCATATTTCTAATCTGGCTTTACCAGGGACAGGGACCCTAATGGAATCTCCAATGTCTTTATCACAAGAGAAAATAGCTTAGCCTGAGACCTGAGGAGAATCACAAATAAGGCAGAAGCTTCTTTAAGAAGAAGAGAAAATGGGCACAAGGACAACCACAGCCTCTCCAGCCACCTCTACAGTATCTAAGCACCCAGAGAGCCTTTTTTCCAGGGGAACCCCCCTCCCCCAAGTCCCTAAAATTACCCTATGAGCTGGGCCTCAGTATTCCCCATGATCAGAGAAACAAACACTCAGAGAGATGCAGTGACCTGAAGACTCACAGCAAGCAGGTGGCTGAGTGGCCACTGTGCTGTGGAGGGGCAGGGCTCACCTGGGACATGGTTGATTCCACCCACATTGGTTAGTAGCACATGTTTGGTATTAACACAGAGGGTGGGTGTGGACCAAGATGGGGATGCTGCCCAGGAAGCTAGACACTAAGTATTTGATCATTTTGTCCAGTCACTGTTCCTGGGCAGCCTGCACTGTATGTCTTTTTATTTTATTTTTGCTCTGTGAGGGTCAAGTTTATTTGGAAGCCCGAGTGAGTGGTTTGGGGTCAACATGAAGGCCAAGGGATGAGCCTACTGGCCTCCATGTTGGGCTCAGGATGCCCCATGGGAGGCCAGTCCTTGACCTCTGGCCACCCAGCTCTGAGTCTGGCCACAGGGGGGCGAGCCAGCTTCCTGGGAAGCAGAGTCCTGGCTCCAAGAAGGGCAGGTGGAGAAGGTGAGGACCGTTCTCCTTGAGGGGGTCATGGTCCAGAAAAACAGACTTGCTCAAAGCTCTGAGGGTTAATAGGGTTAAATTTTATAGAATCTAAATTAATGTTATGTTTAGTAGTATTTCATTAAAGGTTCTCTACAATACAATCTATGTTACTAAATATCATGTAAATTACAGTAAATTATGCACATATATAACATGAACATAAACTTTTAACATTGTATCTAAATGGGGGTGAGGGTGCCCTGTCTGCCATGGCACAAGTTGGGTGAGATGCTGAAATGCTGCAGGTGGTTCTTCTGTCTCTTGAAGTTCAGTGAAAGCTGGGCTTGGATCCGGCTCTGGCTCTGGTGTGGCCTCTAGGGTGGCGATGCCTCTGGAGGGTTTTCCCGACGTTGCTCTGGAGCTGGTTCTGTAGATCCAAGAGGAGCGCATGTTACCACCCTCACTGCCTTTTGTGTGCCTTCCGAAGGCACACTCACCCACACCACCCCCGGAGGCCTCCTCCTCCTCCTGTCTCAGCCTCAGTGGGCTCAGGTGCTCTGACCATGACAGGAGGCACTGGGCCTGGATTTGGCAGTTGGCTTTACTGAGGCCAACAGCATCATCAGGCTGGGAAATAGTGGATGTACTGGTCCAGCCAGAAGCCCAGGATGCAATAGATGGACCTGGAAAGAGAGAGAGTGGTGAGTAGCAGAGTCTGAGGTGTGCCCTTTCCTTACACATGGTCCTCCCAGAGGTCCTTTGCCTCCTGCTCCTGCCCATCCAGAAGCCAGACCTACTCCTTGTCCACCTGCATTCTGGCAGTTCTGGCAGAGACACGCCTGGTCACCCAGGAGGGGCTGGCAGAAAGCACTCCTAATTGACAGCTTTGGATCAATGAGGGAACCACCTGTCCCCTTCTTCAAAGGAACCTGACATGCTCTCTCAGTGTCCCTGTCCCCTCCCACTACCTTCCCACCAAAATGTCAACTCCATGAGGACAAGGAAGGCTGGTGTCCTCCCTGTTCATGTCACTCATTGGCACACAGTAGGTGCTCCAGGAATAGCTGACCAATCAGCAACAAACAAACTCTGTTTCTATCCCTGGATTCCAAGGGCCTTCCTATCACCTCAAACTTTGGCTCCTGCACATACATGCTGCCTAATTCACTAGCTGCCTAATTCACCTCCCACTGAAACTCAACTCCCACAGGGCTGGGTACACTTGCCCAGCTGCCACTGACAAGGTTCTACCAGATTAGTGAACACTGTCCCAGGATAGCGGTGTTGGCAGGGCCGGGATTCCGAGCGGAAGGGTATAAATTTTCTGAAGGTCTGACTTTCTCTCTTAGCTCGCACTGCTCTACCACACCACCTATATCCACATGCACAGCTCTCTTTGATGCCTTCCCTTTTTTTTTTTAGGAAAAGCTCTTAGACCTCTGCCCTCTTGCAGAAATCACACTATGTGTGGGATCCAGGGTTCTGCCAGCACCTTGAATTCACACTCCCATACTCCCCCTCCTGGCTCTGACCCAAAACTGACTCACATTTTCTTCTGGAATAGAGGTTCACCTTCCTCTTCACAGTATGGGAAGATGCAGCCATAGGGAGTGGAGGCCAGGAGGACGTCATATCGGCTGTCCTGGGGACACAACGAGCCTGTGCAGCCTAGTGTGACTGAATCACTCCTGACTAGAAGAAAGCTCTGGAGTGCAGTTGTGGGGTCTGCTCTGTGCACTGGATTATGGTCAGTGCCTAGAGACATGTCGGTAACTGGCAGACATCTGATATATTTGATGAATGAGTGAGCTCCAAACCAGCCCCATCACAGATAGCTGGGAGGGCCTGGGCCCCACTGCTCACCCCTGGGGTTTCTGTTCTGGCTTCACCCAGGACAGAGACCAATAACAGATCTCCAGTCCCTTTATGACATGAAGAAAGAGGCCCTGAGAAGAATCACATATGAGGAAGAAAAATGACCAACTAGCACAGCCACAGCCCCTGCTGCAGGGTCCCAGGATAGCGGTGTTGGCAGGAGCCCAAAGGAAGCTATAGGGGAACATCCTATAGGATCCCTACAAAAACACTATGAGGATGCTCTTTGACTCACCTCATGTTCTTAGAAACAAACAGTCAGAGGGATGCAGCGATCTGAGAGGTCACAGCCAGCAAGTGGCCAAATGACCACCATGCTGTGGAGAGGCAGGTTGCTCACCTTTTCAATAGCTGGTCCAACACCTATTGCATGGCAGCGAACGTTCTGTGATCACATGAAGAGGTAGGGACGAAGGTGGGTCGCTGCCCAGGAAGGAGGGCAGTGGTTTGTCCAGCCCATGTGCCTGTGGGTCTGCACCATGCAGCACTTTTTTTTTTCTTCTTTTTTTTTCTATTTTGCTCCGTGAGGCATGAGTTCATTGGGAACCATAAGAGGATGGTGCTGGGGCCACTTGGCTGGTTGGCAGCTGGGGTCCAAGGTTGGGCTGCCTGGCTTCCATGTTGTGCTCCAGATGCACAATGGGAGGCCAGCCCTTTGCCTCTGACAGTCCACATCTGAGTCTGGGCACAGGCTGGAGCCAGCTCCCAGGGTTAAGCAGGGCCGTGGTTTCCAGGAAGGACAGGTCTCCAAGACCAGAATCCTTCTCACTGAAAGTGTTGAGGATCCTGAGGCTAAAACACATCTTCCATCATGCTCCCGTTCAACAGTGACCTCCCACCACCTGACCTCCCACTTGCTGGGATGTTCTTGTTATTATCAGAGCATTTGGGGGTCCCAGTGGGGGCAACCCAGGCTGTGATTACATTATAACTTAAAACAGTTTCTCTGATTTTCAGCGTCTGTGTCTGTAGTAAACTGAACTGTTAAGAGAAAAGCAGCTGGGCCCTACTGGGCTTTGCCCAGGAAGAGTGAAGGGCGGGGGGAGGGGCAGGGCTAGAAGGTGGAATTGGAGTGTCCAAAGATGCCGATGGGGAGGTGCTTGACGTGGGAGGACCACTGGGCTGCCAGCTGGAAGAACTTCACGTCGTCCCACTCCACGCCATCAATGAGGACCCGCTGCCTGTTCTCCTGATTCTTAGCTGAGCAGAGCAAGCGGCCAATGCCCTGGATGCACTGGCTTTTGGACTCCAAGTCCTTGCCCTTGTCTTTTTTTGGCAAAGATATCACCTTCCTTTTCTTCTTCTTGGTGACCACAGCCATGGACATTGCGGGTGTGCCTGCATCCTCGCTACTGCTGGGCAGCCTGCTGACCTGGAGAGACCGGAAGGTACACTGGAGTGTGTTTTTGGTGGTAGGCAGATCTTCCTTCTTCCCATTTCTCTTCCTATTTGTGGGCTGGGCTGCCATCCAATAATCCACCTGTAGCTCCATCAGCTCAGCACTGACACCCTGAATGGAGGAAGGCAGGTCTCCACTCACTGATGAGGAGAAGGTTGAGTTGTGTGAGGCCTCCCTGGCAGGGGACCTAAGCATGTAGGAGCATGAGGGGACCGCATCATCTGTGTCTCCTGACGTGGCTGAAATTGGTTCCACTATTTCAACTTTCACTGCCCCCACAAAGGGAATGAACTTCTGTGGGGACAACTTGCCCGGGCTCTTCGGCTTAGAGATGAGCATGGCCTCTGCGATGGGCAGCTGGTGGACACAGTTGGCCCCTCTGATGTACTCTGTGATTCTCGCCACAATGTTCTGCACAGATCTCTGGGCCTCCAGATGGTTGCACATGTCCTGCCAGGCCAGGTCCTGGAAGAGGTTGTTGTAGCGGTGATCCACAGAGCCCAGGTAGCTGGACACAGGGTGGGGACCCAGCGGGATGACCAGGAAGCGCATGTAGCCCAGCCAGTCAGGGTTCTTGTGGGTCAGCTGCTCCACAAAGACCCGCAACACGGTGCTGAAGTAGTGCTGAGCCCCCACCACTGCGATCTTCGCTGGCATCGGGGCCTGGGTATTGCAGTCGCAGTATCTTTGTATCCAGGAGATGATGAAGCTGAAGGCCTCCTGGACATCCACCATGGAGCAGGTGTGTACGATGGGCAGCATGTGCTGCTGCAGAACGTCCGACAGGTACTGCCCCTGCCTGTCAGAGGTGCTGATGAGGATGATGTTCCTGGGCAGACAGTCATTGGAGATGAGGATGTTGTTCAGTTGATCACACACAGTCTTCCTGGGGATCTGCAGGTGGCTCTGTGGGACTGGGCAGCTCTCCTCGATCAGGCTGTTGGACGACTCATTCAGGGACCTGCTCCGGCCCCGGCAGGCAGGCTGCTTCCCCTTGGAGCTGCTGGAGGGGAGGACCAGAGACTCAGTCTTGGTGGTGCGCCTGCTGGGTGGCAGCTTCTTAGTGAGCTTGTCCTGGGCAGAGGTCTCTGCCTCCGGGCTGTCCTCAGGCTGTGCCGGCTGTTCCCCAGGGTTGGGCATGCTGTGGGCCACCCAGTCAGAGCCGCTGTCACTTGACAGACTTTCACAGTATGACCTGAGTTTGGGTCTGTGCTTGGGGGTACCTAGGACTCCGTCATCCTCCTCCATATCTGGGCCACTTGACAGGCTTTCAGAGTATGTCATAAGCTCAGGCATGGGAGGGGTTAGGAGACGGTCATCATCCTCCTTATCTGAGCTACTCTCGCTGGGGTTCACCAGCCTGTAAAACAGATCAGCCACATCCTTGTCCACATCAGGGAATTGCACCTCAGGCTCCTGCTTTGAGTCCAGGACTTCCTCCATCATTTGGTACCTGTGCAGCCACGCTTCGACTTTCTGCTGATATTTCTGTTGCCTGGTCATGAGCCTCCTTCTTCTTATTGGCTTCTTGTCTAGGCTATGCCTGTGAGCAGCATTGTAGCTGATCTCCAGCTCAGAGAAGACAATCTCAGAGTCTCCTTCAGAGAAGTTATCTGCCTTGGTGCTAGACCGCATGACTCTGTCCAGGTGGTCGACAGGCTGGCTCGATAGGGAGAAGACACAGGTATTGTCCACCTTGGTGGCAGGGGTGCTGTAGGCCATCAAGTCAGAGACACTGCCACTGAACTGCTTTCTGCCCAGGCTCTGGGCCTTCAAGGGCATGTTGGTCAGCCGAGGAGACTCCTTCTGCCACCGGGCACTGTATATGCTCCTCATCTCCACCTGACAGCTATCGTGTGCCAGGCCTTCAAAGTATTGTCTGGTCTTGGTCTTGGTGTTGCTAAGGATGATGCCATCATCATCCATGTCTGCGTCACTGTTGCTTGGATTCTCAAGGTTGTCATACAGAAGATCCAGGTTCTCTTCCCCCTCGGGGACATGCTCTGCAGGGTCCTGATCTGAGTCTAGGACCTCTTCTGACATTTTGGACCTGGGAAGCAGCACCATGACTTTCTGCTTCAAGTTTCGTTGCATGCATCGCTGCTGCTTTTTGGACTGACTCAGGTCAAAGTCATCTTCTTCCATGTCCTGCCTGGGTGTCGCATTGCAGCTGGCCTCCAGCTCAGAGAAGCTTTCAGATTTCCCTTCGGTGTACTTATTTGTGGGCTTGGCCTTGGGGCTGGCCTGCATGGTGTCGTCCTTGTAGTTGATGGGCTGACTGGACAGGAAGGAAATCCAGATCTCAGCCACCCTGATGGAGGACTCCTGGATGCTGCTGCTGAGGCTCAGCACCTGGCCACCCTCGGGGGGTCGCTGCATCACCTCAGCCATGTGGATGGCACCTGTGGCCAGTGTTTTGTAGCCCAGGATAACCTGGTTGTTATTGCACTTCCTCTGCTGCAGCATGATCTGGAGCTTGTTGCCTTCTCCCTTTAGGAAGTGTGGGTACTGCAGGGAGAAGGTCAGCGCCAGGTCGGTCTCCACTTGTCCAGTGGTGGGCAGCACAATTTCATGGGATCTCAAGATGCCCTTGGAGCCCTGCATCTGCACTGCTATCACCATGGCGATGGGCTCCTTCTCCGGTTCTTTCTCCAGCTCCTTCAAGATCACCAGCTTCTTTAAAGTCAGGCTGCACAGCCTGAGCATGCAGCTGGGGCTGGAGCAGTCCACCTCCCAGGTAGAGAAGAGGTTCATGGGCACTGGGGTGTTGAGCACGGTGGGCGAGTGGGCCAGGCCCGCAGTTGATGAGGAAGCTGCAGCTGCTTGCAGCATACAGGTACCTGATGGTTTCTCCCCCTGTGGTGGGACAGAGGAGGGACATGATTGGTGGCAAGAGGTGGAACACAGTGATGCAAGGAGAGAGTGGATGAAAAATGCTTGACTGTGACTAGCACAGGTAAGGCCTGTATGGTGGCATTTCAAACTCAGAGACCTAAATTAACCACAAAGTTGCCCTGAAATTAGAACTTGTTATCTAAAGCAGTTTATGGTGTGTGGTCATGTGCTAGGCCAGTGTCTTCCCTGACAAAGGTCAATCTTTACATTCACTGAGCATGTCTATTGTCTTTTGGCATCTATAATAACACATCTTTGTAATGTCAAAGGAATTTTCCTTTTTCTGGACACCTCCAAGTGCAGGCACTGCTCTGTGCTCTGCAGAGATCACAGATCTGCTCATTGCTATTGAGTTCATTGCTGACTGCTAGCTAGCCTGTAGGCACCTGTATAAGAGAGGCATGTGTCTATCGTTTTACTTTTTACCTAATCCCAGAGATTTCCCTGCTTTGCTCTCTCCTGCCTCCCTAAGCAATGGATTCCATGTAACCCACATACATCTCCACTTTTTTATTATAATGTATAAAATAAGATGCAATACTGCCATTCTCTGGAGCACTATCTCAATACATTGAGATTTTGTTGTCGGGCAATTCTTGACAGTTGGGCTCCAATAAACTCACACAAACTCTGCACATGGTTGAATGCTGCTTACATTGATACTTACTAGGCTTTCTGCAGCAGGACTCCAAAGAAGTTCATCGGGACCAGCCTGGAGACCCAGGCCCCGTGCTCAGACCTAACAAAGGGCCCATTGGGCCTGCCAGTTCCCTGCCTGTCAGGTGCATTTGGCTAAGTTGTCTCTTGAATCCAGAATCTTCCTTTGCTTCTGGGAGAGGGTCTGACTTTATTTGAGCTGTATTTTTATTTTTATTTTTTATTTTTATTTTTTTAATATATTTTATTGATTTTCCACAGAGAGTAAGGGAGAGGGATAGAGAGCTAGAAACGTCGATGAGAGAGAAACATTGACCAGCTGCCTCTTGCACACCCCATACTGGGGATGTGCCCGCAACCAATGTACATGCCCTTGACTGGAATCAAACCTGGGACATTTCATTCTGCAGACCGCAGCTCTACCACTGAGCCAAACCGGTTTCGGCTGTATTTTTAAATCCTCAAGGTGGAATTAAGGTTAAGGGTTTACAGAACCACGGCTAAGGAGAAACAAGAGGAAACATGGGTGGCTGGTTTTTAATTCTGGGTTTTCATTTGGATTTGCTTTCTGAGAGTCTGACCAAAGTAACCTTCACTGTATAAGGGGTTCATCCTCCTCTGACATGGATCTCAGCTGTTCTTAAGCAACTAAGAATCTTTGCAGAGCTATCAGAGATGATTCCTCACCCCAAGCAGGAGCCCCATAGAGAAATTCCAACTCAACTGTAATTCAACTGCCTGGCTCTTGTGGGGGAGAGCCCATAGGGTATGGTCCACCTGCATTCCTAGCCCTTCCTCTGGTTTTTATTTTTATTTATTTATTTATCCTCACTGGAGTATATTTTTCCCATGGGCTTAGAGAGAGAGAGGAAGTGAGGAGGAAATGCAGAGAGAGAGAATGAGAGAGACATATAGATTGGTTGCCTCCTCCACACATTCCAGTAAGTCCTGGGGATCTGCAACCCAGGTACATGCCTTTCACCTGGAATCAAACCCAGGACCTGTAAGGGCCTGCATTCTACCCACTGAGCCAAACTGGCTAGAGGCCTTCAGGTCGCCTGAGATAGCTGGGAGATAAGCTGAGGCACATGAGAGCGATGAATGAGACTCGAGGGGTGTGAGCATCATGGAGCAAGAAGTTGCACACTTTGACCCACTCCATAACATCCCTATAAAATTTGCTTAGACTCTGAAGATATAAAACAACAACAACAAATACTCCTATAATTAACATGGGAAACTGTGCCTCCACGGCTGGGAACTCCCAGACTCTGGCCCTCATTAATATTCCTGATAGGAAGACTTTTCTTGCAAGTGCTTTACAGAAATGGGAAGATTTAACTTCAAAATATCAACTTTAAAAAATGGCAAAAATAAATTAATTTTTTTGCAGGAAAAAATAACACTAGAAAAATGCTGGCCCCAAAATGAAAATGATTGAATAGGATGCATACCTTGATTTGGAAATCAGAAGCTTCTAAGGTGAAGCACAGATAAATTCTCATTAAAAATTAAATAGGAAATTTCAGAGATTATCTCTGAACTCTCCTGAAGCTAATAAATGCTAACACCCCATTCCCCCATCTATAGCAGGTCCACTACATCTTTTGTTCTCTAAGCTTTCTAGTCCAGATGTGTTCTTTCCCTTCCCTTCTTCCTTCCCCTTCTATCCCCTCCACTGCCCCTCCCTACTGACTTAAGGGAAAATAAGGACAGGAATTCCACCAGCTCCTTTTGGAGAGAAGCTACCCTCAGTCAGAGCGGAACCAGCCATTGTTCTGGATTTTCTCTATGGCCCTGACTGATTCACAAAGAAATTTATCTGTTAGAACATGCAATCCTGGCTATTCTAACCTCTCCCAATTAATATACTCCTGGTTTCTGGGGACAAAAGCAACAGAATTACTAAATGAGGTTGTAAGAAAACTCCTGTAGAGAAGTCTGCCCACTTTAAAGATGATAGGAAGCTGAAATAGGATTTAGAAAAAGTAAATAAACACAAACAAGCGTAGGGTTGCTCCAAGGGTGTTTCCGCTTTTCAATGATAGTTTGGGAGAATTTGAAATTCTCATAAAAAGGGAAGTCACCAAGACCCCTGTAGATACTGGGGATACTTTACTTGATCTTAACTGCACCCAACTAATTGCTTTCTGCATTGGATTAAAGCTTCTGTACAAATATCTGCTTTTTAATCAAAATCTGTTTCCTTTCAAATAGGAAATATTATGGAACAACATATATATATATATATATATATATATATATATATATATATATATATATGTGTGTGTGTGTGTGTGTGTGTGTGTGTGTGTGTATGTGTGTGTGTGTATGTACAATAAATATATATATATATATATATATATATATATATATATATATGGTTTGCTAATCAAATCTGCTCCAATTCACCTGATAGGTGAGGTGTGGCTTTTTTTTCTTTCTTTCTTTTATATGAAATCAGTGATGCTTACATATTCTTTTTCCAGAATAGTTATATATTTAGAATAAGTGAACCAGATACTGAACCAAAAAGGAAATTAATGATTTTAAATGAAGCTTCCAGAAGGAAACTAACCTGCAGACTAACCAAACTTTTGCTAATCATCTTTTCTTCATTATTATTCCCCAGGAGAGCCTGAGAGATGGCTTCACAGGGTACCAATCCTACTCAGAATGGCCCCAAACAGCCCAGACACGTGCAGAGATGCCTCTAACACATGGCTGGCTCATATGTCTCTCTATAGATGGGGAACCAGCCCACAGTGACTTGAGAGTCCTCTTTTGGTGTACATATTCAACAAATGGTGAAACTTGACCCTGAGTCCCTCAAGAAAGAATGCAATCTTCTTTGTTACATCACCTACCTGGTCCCAGTATAAAGTGGGTGATAGAGAGGTTTGGAGCCATTAATTTGAAGACTATCATACAGCTAAGACCTGTTTTGCCATTCCCAAGGGAGATGGATAGAGGTTTCCTATACCTCAAAGCCTCTATACCTCTCAGAGGTATGTGCTTTCTGGAAACTAGGAAAATGTACTAAATAGAAAGAAACATTCCAAAAATGGTGAATGAATTTGTCTGACTCTTGCGAATATTTGGGTGGCAACCCAGTCCCTGAGGTATTGAAAATCACTATCCTAGCAGAAACCAGTTTGGCTCAGTGGATAGAGCATCAGCCTGTGGACTGAAAGGTCACAGGTTCGATTCAGGTCAAGGGCACTTACCTTGGTTGCAGACACATCCCCAGTAGGGGGCGTGCAATAGGCAGCTGTAGGATGACTCTCTCTCCTCATAGATGTTTCTAACTCTCTATCTCTCTCCCTTCCTCTCTGTAAAAAATCAATAAAATATATTTTTTAAAAAGAAAAGAAAATGACTATCCTTGGTTTATAAATGAAGGTTTCAAAGGGCCAGAGGTTTGGCTCCAGAAACAATTCAAAGCCCACCAACTCCTTTTGCCTTCCCAAACCTCCCCTATTCATTTCAGAGGCTTGTATAATAGATAATGGGTTTTATGTAACCAAAGTCCCAGAGCCTTTGAAGTGGAAATACCAGAGTTCACCAAGACCTCTTGTCTAGGCCATTTTTAAAATACAAATGTGTGGAAGATATGTCTTATCCCAATAGAAAAAAAATACCTTACCCACCTACACAAATCACTTTAGCTTATTGCAACTATTTCTTTTATACTTACTAAGTTTATTGAAAGTTATTGAATATCTAGGTATTTTGAAATAACATAAAATACTGAAATATTGCTGATTTTTTGCCAAAACCGGTTTGGCTCAGTGGTAGAGCATAGATCTGCGGACTGAAAGGTCCCAGGTTTGATTGGGGTCACGGGCAAGTATACTGGTTGCGGGCACATCCCCAGTAGGGGGTGCGCAAGAGGCAAGTGATCAGTGTTTCTCTCTCATGGACATTTCTAGCTCTCTATCTCTCTCCGCTCCTCTCTGTAAAAAATCAACAAAATATATAATAAATAAATAAATAAATAAATAAATAAATAAATAAATAAATAAAATTACTTTTAAAAAATGAAAAAATAAAAAAATAGTGATTTTTTTTAAATCATTTTGTTTTCCAAATATAAGGAAAACTAAAAGAAGACATTCTACATTACTATCAATGATTCAGTAAGAAGGTTATAGGTAATGATAGTGACATTCATTTCCCAAGAGACAAAGACTTCAAAGACCAAAACTTACAACCAGGAGATTTTTGATTATTGATAAAGACATTAATTAAAGACTCTCTCCAACCTGTTAAAAAGGACATTACCTTATCAGAGGCCTAATCACAAATGGACATCTGTCTCTGACACTGACCTCCATC